AAGTTTTCCTTTAGTAAATTAATAGATTAAATCTATCCATGAATTTTAAATATTGAAAACATGCCTAACAATAGTATAAACATGTAGAAAACGTAAATACGGTCCTAACACAATTCGAACGGGTCAAATCAGAGTTAAAATGATAAAGTTATGGCCTAAACAAGTTTGATGGCATTTCTGTAAATAAACTAAACTTATTTTTAAATTTAACAATTAAAAATATGAATTTACACGGCTACTGGACTGTGTGTACTATTTTTAGAAACTACGGGGGCCTAAACAAATAAAAACAGGACTAAATTGTATTTATTTTGAACTGTTATGGATTGCGAGTTAATTTCCAAAAATTGCAGGGGCTCTTCTACAAAAATGGGTGCGGCTTGACCAAGGGCTAACTGCGGCTGCAGACTGGGCAGCCACGTGGCAGCCGCTGGTTGGCGCGGTGCGCCACACATGCGGTGGACGCGCGCTGACTCGGCACCGTGGGCCAGGTCCATGGGTCTACGATGGACCAATTACGTAACCCCAAACCAGTATGTAATCTTGGCCGTTCACGTGAATCCGACGGCGTAGGCATGTACGGGGATGACCTCCAGCGGCAGCACTGTACCACCGGCAAGCCCGCCATGGCTGGCGACGAGGCAACCACGGCGGTGTAAGGTCGAGATGGCGGACTAGAGGAGGGTGAATAGTCCTTTCTAAAATTAATCACATCGGCTAACCGAAACAAGTGCGGAATTAAAACTATCGGTCTAGCCAAGACTACACCCCTTTATCTATGTTCTTTAGCACCTTCCAAAGATACTAATTAAGCAACAAGGGTGCCGGACTAGTTAGAGCTCACCTAACCAATTCTAGAAGCAAGGTCACACAAACATATGCCACTAGTGCTTTAAGCAACAAGGGAGCTTCTACACATGCTAGTAAGCAAAAGTACAAAGCCACCTAATGCACACTAACAACGCTCAATAACAAGGCAACCATTACCAAATTAGAGAGCGCAATTACTTAGCTACACAAACTAAGCAATATGACTAACAAGGTCACACAAACCAAATTAGCCACGCAAGGGAGCTACTTCTATGCTACACAAGCAAGAAGATAACTAGTAAGCTACATAAGGTAACTAATTACAAAAGCAACTACACAAGCACAATGTATACAAAAGTAGTTACAAGCTTGTGTAACGAGGATACAAACCAATGGGAAGAACAAGGTTAACACGGTGATTTTTCTCCTGAGGTTCACGTGTTTGCCAACACGCTAGTCCCCGTTGTGTCGACCGCTCACTTGGTGGTTCGGCGGCTAATTATTGGCATCACCCACCAAGCCCGCACGTTGGGCACCGCAAGAACCTACCCCAAAAGTGAGGGTAGCTCAATGACACGCTCAACTCGAGTTGCTCTTCACGACTCCTGCGGGGCGAGCACAATGCCCCTCACAAAGCTCTTCTCCGGAGCACCGCACAAGCTTCTTGAGGACTTCAACGGAGACCACCACCAAGCCATCTAGGAGGTGACAACCTCCAAGAGTAACAAGCACCACCGGCTTGCAACTCGATCACCTAGTGCCACTCAATGCAACCTCATGATGCAATCACACTAGAGTCGCTCTCTCACACAATCGAATTATCACTATCAAGTATATGTGAGATAGAGGGCTCCCAAGCATTCACAAGCATGGACACAAAGCCCTCCGAGGTGCTCAACACCAGCCATGGCCGAGGCCACCTTCTATTTATAGCCCCATGGGCTAAACTAGCCATTACCCCTTCACTGGGCAAAACTCGGGACGATCAGATGCTCCGGTCGTATCGACCGAACATAAGACCTCAGCGTCCGGTCAATGGATGCTCGCCACATGTCACCTCCATTCAACCTCAGTCACTTGATCTTAACAGTCAAGTGATGACCAGACGCAGTTGCTCAAACTGACCGGACGCAGCAACCCCAGCGTCTGGTCATTTCTAGTAAGGTACCAGTCATGACCGGACGCGTTCGGTCGGTCACGATCGGACGCAGCATCAGCGTCTGGTCCTTCTCCACCTTCTTTGCGTCACCTATGTCACCGTACGTTAGCCTGACCGGATGCACCCTACCAGCGTCCGAACACTTTCAGCGCCAGCGTCCAGTCGAAGACCGACGCCTGCACGCTCTCTGCCGCCACTGACCGGACGTAGGACCCCAGCGTCCGGTCACCATGTGACCAGTGTCCGGTCCACTCTATGAGACCTTGTATTTTCTGTATAGGGCGCCAGTGGCACCGTCGGACTGTCCGCACTCTATGGGTGAACACTCCGCCGGTGGAGTTCCTAACCCTTCTCGCCTCTGTTTCATCGCCGAGTTGATCCACATCAACTCCAACTTCATCTCCTTTATAAATCTGCCAACACCACCAAGTGTACACCATCATGTGTATGTGTGTTAGCATTTTCACAATCATTTTCCAAAGGATTAGCCACTCAATCCTAGCGACGATGCAAAGTTAGATCACTCAAGTGGCACTAGATGACCGATATGCAAATAAGTTTGCCCCTCTTGATAGTATGGCCATCTATCCTAAACCCGGTCATCAACTTCTCTACACACCTATGACCAGTGAAATGAAATATCCTAGGTTATACCTTTGCCTTGCACATTCCATTCCATCTCCTCCAATGTCGATGCAACACATGCACCAACATGATCAACAATGATATGATCCACTCCATATCATCATGTGATCATATTGGTTCATCGATCTTGACTTCACTTGCTTTTCACCATTGCCTTCGTCCATCGGCGCCAAGTCTTGCTCAAGCTTCACCGCCACGTGGTCCGTCACTCCAAAGTCTCCGACTTGCCCTTCACGTTTGCAACCGATCCATCAAGCCAAGTCTTGTCTTGATCTTCTCCACCTTGATCACATGTCTCATGTGCAATAAGCTCCTTCATCATCACATGTGTGAGCTTTGCAACATCTCCAAACCATTTTCACCTTCATAGCATATGTTGCTCACACATATGTACCTGTGAACTAATAATATGTGTATCTCACATAAACACAATTAGTCCACCTAGGTTGTCACTCAATTACCAAAACCACACAAGGACCTTTCGGGCGTTGAACGCCGGTACGGCGGTTTGGACCTCCCCGATCGAAGCTGAACACACCTAATCAATCTACAGTCGCTCGTGAACACAATGGAATGCAAAATGTGGGTGGGGAATGCGCCGGAGTGTCGGTTCCATGGTGGCTCCATGGCCAGCGGGGCAGGAGCTTGCCGATACGGTGCTCCAGGGCACAAATCGACGAAATAGGGACACAACATCCGGGAAGGGTTCCGAAGGCCGGGGCATCCACGGTGGTGGCTGGAGAGAGAAACAACAACACGGATTAGGGGAAATCCGAGCAATCCGTGACCAAAACGGTGAATTGAGGGTACCTACTGTCATGGGGAAGCACGATGGAGCTCCGAGTGGCGTTGGTGACGGCGTTTGAGGTGCGGGAGCAGTGAATTGAGGCGGCGGTGGCGAGTGCTTGAGCACGGCCAGGAAAAGAGAGAAGGAGGGGGTCCGGCTCGGGTTTTGTAGACGGTGGGCGTTGCGGTAGAAGGAAGGGGAGCAGGGTGCTCGGGCGATTGGTCGCCTTCCATGCGGGCGCGGTGGACCGGCGGCTTGCCGTGCACCATCGCCGGTAGTGAAGGAAGGGAGCGGGGAAGAAAGGAAAGAGACGCTGACGAGCGGGTCCTGCATTGCAGCGAGAGGAAAGGGAGCGGAGCGCGTGCGGGAAAGGCCGAGCAGCGCGCGGTGAAGACCGAAGCGGGCCGAGGCGCTGAGCTGGGCTGTGCGGTGCACGCGTGGGCGACGAAGCAAGCCACGTGCGGGAGAAGGAGGAAGGGAGGAAGGGCATGGAACTAGGCCGCTAGCAGGCCAGGCTGGGAAAGGAAGCAGAGCAGGCCAATGCGCGGGAGGAAAAGGAAGGAAGGGGAGGCACGAGCTGGGCCAGGCAATGAGCTGGGCCGGCGGAGAGGAGGAAGGGAGCGGGCTGGGGGGGGGGAAACGTGGGCCTTCGGGCCAAAATGAGAGAGAGAGGAGGTTTTTCTTCTTTTTATTTTTTCAAATCCTTTTTCTTTTCTTAATTCAAAACAAATTCAAGTATGAACTGAATCGAGTATAAATATGATTTAAAATACACTTTTTAATTCAAACATAAATGAACAAATTTTGGGTAAGTTTTTCGAGAATAACTTTTTAAATTCTTTCATTTTCTAATTTTCTTTTCTTTTATTTCAAAGCCATTTTTAATTTTATTTGCAAAGCAATTTTAACCATTTTGAATTTTCAATCAAAACCACTCAACCAAATAAATCAAATGCAATGGCATGTATGCTCAAACATGTTGCTACCTTATGTTGAATTTTAATTTAATGAAAAAAATTATTTTCCTATATTTCATGTGCACAAAAATTCCAAATTAAATCTTTTTAGGTCCATTTCCAGAAATTCAAATTTTAGGGTGTTACATTATTGAATACTATGCTGACTTCAGAATATATACCTGACTGAAACATCAGAAGGGATGCTATTTTTAAGGCATTTGGTGTTTGCACACAATTTAAAAGTGCCCAATGCAAATATGTGAGTAACATGGAAGCGAATTCAGTGAATGAATTGCGCTAATTTCCATCTCGGTCCACTAAACTAAGCCATATCTTGATTCATAATTTCCCCATCCCAATTGCATTCCAACCAACCTAAATTTGCCTCGGTACTGAATGACGAGAAACCCACCAGCCTCATTGCCTAAGAGGAACACGGTGCTCCGATGGAACAGGTTTGAGGCCACCGGCTTCGCGTCGTCAGTGATCTCCACGCCACAGATGTCACACCCTCTATTGTTCTGCAACAAAACAAGCACAAACTCATGATATACATATTCAACAAAACAAACGGAGGACAGCGGACTATTTAGGCATTTGGTGAGGCCAGGGGCCTGATCGAGCTCAAGGATAGGGCTGGCTAGCTTGCCTTGAGGTATGCGCAGGCGAGGGCAAGGGAGGTGAAGTGGCTGAAGCGGAGGTGCGAGGTGGCGCCGTGGCTGTCGAAGGCGCTGACATCACCGCGGCCGATGACGACGACCTCCGCTATGCCTAACGCTGTCATGCTCTGCGCCAGTGTCTCCATGTTGTTGACCACCACCACGCTCTCCACCGCCGCCGCCATGGCCGCCGCTTTCGTCGCCTGCTCGATTCACCGCCGCTGCATCTGGCTCGGGGGACAAATGGTATGACTTATGAATTCGAAGTTCCCGTGCACCCTCTCACTGATAAGTGGGCCTAGACATTGGGACGAATCCAACGGCACGGTTGACCATACTCCTCGACATCTGTGGATTAAGTACAAGTGCATCCAAACAAGTCTTTATAGTGGATTAAGAAAACTCAATTAATTGTAAAGTATTTGGAGACATGTTCTACTTGATAAATCTTCATCCCTTAATACGTGAGACACACATGTTAATATGTCATTGATGAAAAAAATTATCTTCTTACCTTCTCTTTTTTTATCATTGCTTCCTCTTCTCTCGATACTGGAGGCGGCGGCGGTGGCTAGACCACCTGGGGCACACGCCTAGCTCATCCATCGTGGTTGAAAGGTCCTTGTTTGGTTTTGGTAATTGAGTGACAACCTAGGTAGACTAATATGTGTTTAAGTGTCATACACAGGTGATTAGTCCACACATACATGTGTGTGAGCAACATATGCCATAGAGGTGAAAATGGCTCGGAGATGTTGCAAAGCTCACACATGTGATGATAGAGCTCATTGCATATGAAACATGACATTGAGTCATGTGACCAAGGTGGAGAAGATCAAGACAAGACTAGGCTTGATAGACCGGCTGCAAGTGTGAAGGGCAAGTTGAGTGATGACTTGGCGCCGATGGACCGAAGCAATGGTGAAGAGCAAGTGAGGTCAAGATCGATGAACCAATATGGTTACGTGATGATATGGATTGGATCATATCATTATTGATTGTGTTGGTGCATGTGTTGCATCGACATTGGAGGAGATGGAATGGAATGCGCAAGGCAAAGGTATAACCTATAGGGCATTTTATTTCACCGGTCATAGGTGAGTAGAGAAGTTGATGACCGGGTTTAGGATATATGGCCGTATTATCAAGAGGGGCAAACTTTTTTGCATATCGGTCATCTAGTGCCACTTGAGCGATCAAAGTTTGCATACGTGCTAGGATCGAGTGGCATGGTGAATTGAGTGATTAACTCCTTAAAAATATTTGTGAAAAGCTAACACACATGCACAAATTGGTGAACACTTGGTGGTGTTGGCACATTTGCAAATGTGAAGTCGAAAGGTGAAAAAGAAGGCAAAACCGGGCTCTTGGTGTTGCCCTGGGGGCACCGCCATGCCCTGTCTGGTGCACCGCCACCCCTAGGGCAGTGACCAACTGGCCTCGGCCGAGAAGGAGGAGTTTGAGCTGGCACCGCCCCAGCCTGTCCAGTGGCACCACCATCCCTAGGGTGGTGCCCACCTGACCCCGGTTCAGAGCAGCAGCAGTGGAGGTGGTCACCGCCGATGATGGTGTACGCCGCCATGTGTAGGACAGTGCACTGTCGGGTGTTGTCCAGTGCCGCTGTCGCTTTTCAGCCGAGAGCAAGGGAAGAGGGCTTGGTCATCGCCTAGGCACCGCTGTGCCTCGGGTGGTGCACCACCCTATTTTTCTCGAGAGCGGGGTCTTTGCGGGGTTGGCCTGGGTGGTCACTGTCACCCCTAGGGCGGTGCCACTGCCACCCTATCCGGTGCCCTAACCATTGGATGATCGTTGGAGGGCACCGCCCTGCCCTATCCGGTGACCGAAAGGGAACTTTGCTCTAACGACTCTATTTGGCTTGGGGGCTATAAATAGAGGTGGAGCTCGGCCTTAGGCTAGTTGCTGAGCACCCTTGAGCCTTGGTGGCTTGTGTAGGTGTGCTTGGAAGCCATCTAACTCACATATGCTTGATAGTGATCATCCAATTGTGTGAGTGAGCTATTTCTAGTGCATTGCATTGCGAGATTGCATCGAGTGGCACTAGGTGATCGAGTTGCAAGCCGGTGGTGCTTGTTACTCTTGGAAGTTGTCACCTCCTAGATGGCTTGGTGGTGGTCTCCGTCGAAGCACGTAAAGAAGATTGTGTAGTGCTCCGGAGAAGTGATTGTGAGGGGGATTGTGCTCATCCCGTGGGAGCCACGAAGAGCAACTCTAGTAGAGCGTGTCATTGAGCTACCCTCACTTGGTTCATGGGGTTCATGTGGCGCCCAACGCGTGGGCTTAGTGTGGTGCCAATTAGCCGCCGAACCACCAAGCGAACGGTCGACATGACGGGGACTAGCGTGTTGGCAAGCACGTGAACCTCAGGATAAAAATCAGCGTGTCATCCTTGTCTTCCCATTGGTTTGCATCTCCTTTACACAAGCTTGTATTTACTTTCATATACATTGTGCTTGTGTAGTTGCTCTTGTAATTAGTTAGCTTGTGTAGCTTGCTAGTTACCTTCTTGCTTGTGTAGCATAGAAGTAGCTCCCTTGCCTGACTAATTCGGTTTGAGTAACCTTGTTAGTCTCATTGCTTAGTTTGTGTAGCTAAGTAATTTATGCTCTCTAATTTGGCTTGTGTAGCCTTGTTATTGAGCATTGGTAGTGAGCTTAGGGGCTTTGTGCTTTTGCTTACTAGAATTGCGTAGGATCTCTCCTGGTTGTTTGAGTACTAGTTGCATAGGTTTGTGTGACCTTGCTACTAGAATTGATTAGGTGAGCTCTAGCTAGCTCGACACCTTTGTTGCCTAATTAGGATTTTTATAAGGTGCTTGAGAACTTAGATAAAGGGGTGTAGTCTTGGCCAGACCGATAGTTTTAATTCCGTATTTGTTTCGGTTAGCCGGTGCGATTATTTTTAGAAAAGACTATTCACCCCCCTCTAGTCTGCCATCTCAACCCTACAGTGGTGCCGCGGCCTGCAACGGTGGCGGCCTCCACGCCTGCCTAGCTTGCTTGCCTAGTGTGTGATGCCTTGGCTGCAATAGCAATGACAACCTACGGCCTGCCCCGTGGCGCGATGCTCACTCATCCATTATGTGATGCCTCGGCTGCCCTAGCATGTGGACCATGCGAGGATGTCATTGCTCATGTTCATGAGTCGGACCAGTTTAGGTTTTTTTGTCAAAGCTAAGGCCAGCCCCAACCGTGACATAGTGGTTTGGTATCCTTTCGATAAGTGATAATCTCTTTGTTTTTTTGTTTGAATCGAGACTTGCACTCTGGCTCTTTTCTCTTTTTTCCTTTATTTTCGGCAGTTGGTTCATTGCTCTTGTAGGATCAAAGAGGCCAACTAGAGGAGGATGAATAGTCATTGAAGGTTTACAAATTAGGGGTGACAAGCAAGCAAGAGCACTCCTATACAATTCTAGTTGCAAAGTAACAACAAGGCAAGCTAACTAGAATTGAGCAACTAAACCCTAACACAGTAACAAGAACAACTACACAAGATAAGCATGCTAGTGAATAACACTTGATAACTCTACTCAAAGTGAATATAAACACAATGAATAACAAGAGTAGAGTGAGCAAACCACACGCGAAGGATGACGCGATGATTTATCATGTGGTTTGGTGACTTACAGGTCACCTATTCCACCTTGAGGCAAATCACCGCTCCACTACAAGCTCAATAATCCCACAAGATCGGCTCCAATGTGAGCGCTTGTGTATGAGCTGGCTGATCCTATGGTGCTCTCCAAGCCTCAGCATCCATTAGAGTTGCTCTTCGCCTTTCTCACGTGAGGACAAGCACAAGAGCCCCTCACTAATCACCTCCGAAGCTATTGCACAACGTCCACATGGTGCTTCCACAGAGCCACAACCACTAAGTCATCTAGGAAATGACAATCCCCAAGAGTAATAAGCAAACTCGCTTGCAAACCGACCCCTAGTGCCACTCAATGCAATCTCTCAAAGAAAATGCACTTAGATCACTCTAATCTCACCATCGATGCAATCTCAACTTAGTATATGTGAGTGGAGGACTAACTTGGGCTCTAGTGTGTATAGATATTATCCATGAGGTCCAAGAGACATGCCTTGCCCAGACACACGGTGGCACGCCCAAACATCTTCTAGAGCCAAACTCTGGTGATCACTTTGGTGATTACTAGTGGAGGATTCTGGTGCCAAAAACCATATATGCAAAACCATTTTTACCTCAACATTGGAGAGTCGCTACAGTTGCCTTTAAAACTCTTGTGTGTTGGCTCACTTCGCCGATCGCTGCCATGTGCCCACCCTATTCTTTGATCAAACTCTGGTGAGTACCAGGAGAATAGGTGCTCTCCGTTAAAAGAACTATGCTCAGTTGTGCAACCCTAGCTAACTCCGGTGATCCTTCTCCAGTGATGAAGCCTTTTTCAAATCAGCAATCAGCTAACTCCACAAAGTGTCTTACGGGACACCAATAATTTTAGCACTAAGCATTTTCAAAACACTTTTCAAAGATTTCACTTTGCATCTCACCATGCCACTCGATATAAATGGAACGCCATGTTAGAACTCACAAGTAGCACTAGATAACCAATATGCAAAACATGTTTGTCCCTACTAGTAGTACCACTATCTTAGGCTAAACTCGTCCATTTTAAACTTCTCTACACACCTCATGGCTGGCGAAATAAAATACCCTATATCTTATACCTTTGCCTTGCGCACATCCATTCAAACTCTGAATCAATGCCCGCAAGCAAACACTCTCCATAATATTTGTTGGTAAAAGCAACTTTGCTGACAAGCAATGATAGAATTTTTTATCTAGTTGATAGAGCTCTCTTGATATTCATCTAGTCTTATATAAGTTTGGGTATATAGAAATACAAACAGAAAGGAGGGGATAGAGGAATGGCCCATAATATAAAAAGATAAAGAAATAGAAATAGTCATAATACATTGAAAAATAACAAAAAGAGAGCGACAGACAACAAATGAATCGAAATGTTCATGTTTGGTTTGGAAGGGATCATAAAAATTATAAGCTTAATAGCAATATAATATACTTTGATTAAAAGATTTATTTGATAATAAAATATAGAGGATCTTAAATATTATGCAAAATTTAGAAGAATTGCATAGGGGCCCTTGAACAACTCGAAAAAGCTTAGGTTCAATATCAGAAATCGAACTAAAAGCATATATGTATCGAACAAATGGATACTTCTATTGATTTGGGATAATTAGAAAAATCTAGAAATTGGACTTTTGATTTGAATAAAGAGCGATAAATCAGATCGGAAACGAGTTCTAGGAACTCTGAACTGTTGTTTAAATATTGAGTTATTACTCTATATGATTTGTGCTTTTTTTTATCAACAGCGGCTCCAAGGCCTTGTTATTTCACTCATAGGCTCGACAAAATCGCAAGACACTAAAGTTTTTACAAAATCCAGGAGGGGTTCGCCCAAACACAAGACTCACCTGGGTCCCAACTCATACCCATCGTAGCTAGCTCATGGGCAACTGAATTACAGACTCGAGACACTGATCGGACATCATTGCACACAAAAGAACTACGGAGAAGATCTCGAGTGTCCCTAATGAGCATCCCACTTACAGCTAAATCCATCGAGGATGATAGTAGAGCCTGCTTTAGTACCCACGAGTCCATTTCAAGCTGTATCCGAGAAATTCCAAGATCTGTTGCCGACTGTAGCGCTTTTTGCACATGCCGCCGCTTCAGCAGTAAGAGCATCCGGTACTGCTGACACGCGTGCTGCACCAGCTACCACAGCATCACCTTGATGATCCCTGATGATGAATCCCCAGCTACTTAGTATTGCCCCTGTTCGTTTCTCTTATAATCCGTACTTTTCAGTTTGTTTTTTCAGCCGGAATAGTATTTTTCTCTCACAACAAATCAGCCGGAACAATGTTTCGACTTGTTGTTTTAGCGAAGCGAAGGGGCCATTTTGTACAAAGGCACCATCGCTATTGATTTCCAGCAATCCCGCTGGCGGAGCACACCATCGTTGAACTATTCTGCTACTTGAATTTGATGCACTCGTCTCCCTTCCCTTCGAGTCTGAGACAAAATTTCAAGACTTCACCTGTAACCTCCCTCCTTGTTAGCCCTCGTTCTCCATTATTCACTTTATTACGAACGCTCCACCATTTCCATAGAAAGATCACCGTTTTCAGTCGGTCGTCCTCTTTTAACTGCAGCACCCCCTGAACTACTTCCCATGTTGAATTCTTGGACAGCAGACCCTGCCGGACATGCTCGAGCTCTAGATCGGCCCAGTCTCACGAGTTTACATTTGAGGAAGCAATGGCCGCCATCCTCATCCAGTCGACGGCAAGCTGGGCATAAAGTGTCCAGCCTCATCCCTCTCCTTTGATAGTATTTTTTGTTTAGTTTTTAATTTTTCATATATCTTGCATTGTTTAGTATTTGTTGGATGTTCCATGATATATGTTTTTTTACAGTTCACATAATATGTCACTACGCATGAAATGTTCGGTACATTTATTTTATCTTTTGCGTATTTTCTTTAGCTTATTATATTATTATGTTTTTTCATTATTTCTTTTGTATTTTATTTCATTTTTCTGATACATTTCCTGTCTCTTTTCCTCCTTTTTTGTTATGTTTTTCTCTTGTTAATATCTTTTCCTATATATTTCATAGCACTCTTTCTTGTATCATGATCTTGTAGTGATGTTTACTTGATCCCTTTCTTTTTTTCCCTTTATGTCATGTTTTTTCTCTTGTTAATATCTTTTCCTATATTTTTCATAGCACTCTTTCTTGTATCCATAATCTTGTAGTGATGTTTACTTGAACGATTTTTCTATAGCATAATAAGACTATTCTCATACTCTACTTATGAGGTGTATTGCTAATTACTGTTATATATAATATTTTTGAGATGTTCCATAATGTATTTTGGATTTTTTTCCAAGTATCCAGGTTCCAAACATGATGCATTTTTTCAGTTTTTCTATAATACCTGTGAGATGTGCCATAGCGTATTTTTAGGTGTTTGTATACTATGCATGGGATCATGGGATTATGAGATGTTCTATGATGTATTTTTCAATTGTTAACTTGACACCTATGAGGTGTTCCATGATATATTTTTAAGTCATTTTTCTAATATCCATAGGATCTTCAATTGTATAATTTAATTGTTTTTGGTATACATGAAATAATTTTAAATACCGTACACCTGAACCTAATTTTATTCTTCTAAATATGGAACATTATTATCACAAGAATATATTCTCGTGAAGGCAGAACATTGTTTCCGCATCCTAGAACATTGCTTTGCTTAATAAAAAAAAGTTTTATCTTCATAAAACAAATGTTCGTTGATGAAATATTATCTAAATATATCCAAATGAGATCTTGTTTTGTAAGATTTATGATAAAAAAACACAATAGTGTAATCAAAATTTAATTTTGATGCCTAATTTGTAAATTATGGATTTTTTAGTTTCGTCTAAAACCATGACATCTAATTTGTTTTCTTCTGAAATCTTCCCACGTGAATAACAAAGAAGACCAGCAAAGCACGTAGAGCAGCCTAAACATTAATCACGCGGAGCACTAAATAGTCTGTGGAGGTGTCATGGTCAGCATGGTCCTTAGCTGCGACCGGTCGGGCCCTATGAGCCATGAGGTGCCATTGTTGCCAGCCATTAAATCACACGAAAGTGACAGCCCAAAACAAAAAGTCTTTCTTATCCTCTGTTTCTTGAAGTGATCATGATTTATCCTGTTCGGCAGAATTTAATGATGTTACGGTTGATTTATAGGACTGATTTGTTGTGATAAAAAAATACTATTCCTGTGACTAAAAAGTAGAGCCGCTGGCTGATAACCTCAAAAGAACCGGGCGATAGAACCAACGGTGTATGCTACTCATCTATATCCATGGTTTCAGGATGAAGCCTTGCAGCTCATGCTAGCAAGTAGGAACCATGGCGGCAACTCTGCACTCTATGCTCACCCTTGTGCTGCTGGTGCTCCTCACAGTCTGGCCGGCTGATTCCTCGTCGCTTGTTGGAAAGCATGAGGACCGTGAAGCACTGTTGGCATTCAAAGAGGCGCTGTCAGATGACTCGGGCTCACTAAGATCATGGAACGGCAGCAGCTCCGACTTCTGCCGTTGGCCCGGCGTGACATGCAGCCGCCGGCATCCGGGCAGGGTGGTTTCTCTGAGGCTGAGCTACTGCAACCTAGGAGGTACCATCTCTCCTGTCATCGGCAACCTCACCTTCCTTCGGACGCTCGATATCGAAGGCAACATGCTGTCAGGGGACATACCGCACACCATCAACCGGCTACACCGTCTGCGCTCTCTCCAATTGGGCAACAACTCTCTTGCCGGTGAGATTCCTGCAGGCCTAGCCAACTGTTCCAACCTTGTGTTCCTGGACTTAGAGATGAACCTGATTCGTGGGGGAATTCCTAGTGGTCTAGGGTCGCTATCTCAGCTGCAAACCCTCTATGTTGACGAGAATAATCTCGTAGGACATATACCTCCATCACTCGGTAACGTCTCTCTACTGGAACAAATATCACTCTTTCAGAACATGCTGGAAGGAACCATCCCAGAGGGTCTTTCCCGTTTGAGATATCTCAAATACATCCAAGCTGGGAGGAACAACCTCACGGGCACAATTCCACCTCTCTTCTTTAACATATCATCCCTCCAGTATTTCGGTTTCAGCTCAAATAATCTGCATGGCAGATTGCCACCAGATGCAGGCAGGCACCTTCCTGACCTTGAAGTGCTTCTTTTGGGTGGCGCTATGAACAAGAACAGCTTCTCCGGAACACTCCCTGCGTCCCTCTCAAATGCCACCAAACTAAAGCAGCTGGTCGTTGCCAACAACCACTTCGGAGGAAGGGTGCCTCCTGAGATAGGGACGCTCTGCCCGGTGCTTGTTGAGATGGGGAACAACATGCTGAAAGCTGAGGATGATGCGGGCTGGGAGTTCCTCAGATATTTCACCAACTGCACCCGTCTAGAGGTTCTGGATGTTGGTTATAACACCCTGGGAGGAGTGCTTCCAAGTTTTGTAGCCAATTTCACAGGTCCAATACACCTGCTACTCATGGCAATGAATGGGTTGTCTGGGGTAATCCCTCCGGGTATCGGAAACCTCATCAGCCTTGAGGACCTAGAATTCGCTGGAAATAATCTGCATGGTGTTTTACCTGAGGACATTGGAAGACTTCAAAACCTGAAATTTTTCACTCTGGGGGGGAATCTCCTATCAGGAGGTATACCACCCTCCTTTGGCAACCTCACAGAACTGCTCACCCTTATATTGTCAAACAATGAGCTCAATGGCTCCATTCCTGAGAACCTTGGGAGCTTGCACAGGTTAACATCCATGACATTATCCTTCAACAGGCTTACCGGTGCTATCCCTGGAGTAATATTCAGCCTCTCATCACTAACTGATTCATTGTTACTTTCTCACAATTATCTTTCTGGTGTTCTTCCTCCACAAATTGGTAGCCTCCAGCATGCGACAACATTGGATCTGTCAAAAAACAACTTATCTGGTGAAGTACCAGGAGCACTTGGAGACTGTGCAAGTTTAGTATACTTATCTCTCGATGACAATTACTTCACTGGGAGCATCCCTCCATCAATTGGTAATTTGAAGGGCTTGACCATGCTGAATTTCACAAGAAATGGTCTGTCTGGTAGCATCCCTCAAGAGTTGAGCAAGATTCATGGGCTGCAAAAGCTTTACCTAGCTCACAACTCTCTGTCTGGAGCCATTCCACAACTTCTCCAGAACTCAAGCGCTCTTGTAGAGCTGGATCTCTCCTATAACCATCTAGAGGGTGAGGTGCCGTCACATGGGGTGTTCACTAACATGAGTGGGTTTTCTGTAATTGGAAATGATGGGCTTTGTGGTGGCGTTGCAGAGCTAAAATTGCCTTCATGTGAGGTCAAGCCACACAGCCACCGTAAACGGTTGCAACTGAAGATTTTTCTTCCAGCTGTTGGCATCGTTATATGTTTAGCTCTTCTATTGGTTGCACTCTTTCTGTTCAAAGGGAGAAAAGGATTGGACAGGATCAATGCTACACAAAACCATTTGTTGGACAACAAGTATCCTAGAGTTTCATACCTCCAACTTTTTGAAGCTACGGATGGTTTTGCCCCTACTAATCTGATAGGAGCTGGAAAATATGGATCTGTTTATAAAGGAAATTTGTCTCTTACAAGTGCTAGGGATTCTGTAGTCGCTGTCAAAGTGTTTGCTCCACAGCAACCTGGTTCTTCCAGAAGTTTTTTGGCTGAATGTGAGGCTCTACGACAAGTGAAACATAGGAACTTGATCAATATTATCACCTGTTGCTCCAGTATAGACTCTAGAGGGAATGACTTCCAAGCTCTAGTCTTCGACTTCATGCCCAGGTACAGCTTGGACAGGTGGCTGCATCCAAGAAGCAATGAGCAGACACACAAGTTAAGTCTAACCCAACTGATGAACATTGCGACTGGTGTAGCAGATGCACTAGACTATCTTCACAACAGTAGTTGTCCAACAGTGATCCACTGTGATTTGAAGCCTAGCAACATCCTCCTTGGTAGTGACTGGACTGCTTATGTTGCTGACTTTGGGCTTGCAAAGCTGATTGGTGAATCCATGGACCGATCAAATTTGAATATTGGGACTGAAAGCACTATTGGCATAAGAGGAACCATTGGATATGTTGCTCCAGGTACCTCCACTGTTCATTATTCACATTTCTTACGATCAATCATACTGCCTTAATTTAGTGCCCCTGCTGTATTGCCTTCTTATGATATTGTCAATTTGTCATAATATTTCCATTGTCGCAGAATATGGAGCAGGTGGTCAGGCATCAGTTGCTGGTGATGCCTACAGCTTTGGGGTTACTCTGCTTGAGATGTTCACAGGGAAGGCACCAACTGATGGTATGTTCATAGATGGCTTGACCCTGCAGTTGCTTGCTGAGGCAGGATTACCTGACAAGATATCAGAAATCATTGACCCAGAACTATTGCATGATGAAGTGCATGACAATGGTTCGGGGATACTCAGTTGCTTAGCTTCTGTAGTAGGAGTTGGAATTTCATGTTCGAAGGACAACCCGTCAAACAGAATGAACATGAAAGATGCTGCTGCTGAGCTGCACAGAATCAAGGAGTATTTGCAGAAATCCCTTAGGACTTAAATGGGTATAAAGCATTGTCTGTAATTCTTCCAACATGGAGCACTTCTGTTGTAACATCTAAACTCCAATGCATGCAACTTCACCATTGAGGTGGCTCTTTTGAAAGATTGCTTGGCATTCAGTTGACCTTGTGCAAATATCTGTGTCGCCACATCAATAGAACAAGGATAGAGCACTGGCAAGTTTACCTACTAGTTTGTAAGCTTTTATTATGCATGCGCAATCTTCATGGTTCCTGAAGGTTCAATTATTGTAAGATGTCCAAATAACTTCCAAGACATATGCTTCTGAAAAGTATATGCCACCTCCTTTTCCACTCCAATTGTTTTTTTTCTTTTTCATTTTGCATGGGGGTCAACTTCTCTGTCAACAAAAGACATCCCAATTATGTGCTGCTATACTGCAAGTTTGTGTCAATGGACAACGGGACTCCATTCAACAACAGAGTTGGATACCCCCCAAAGCAGAATTGTATAGACAGCCAATAGGGTGCTTTATTAATTCATTCTTTGTAGGGGAAACTTGAAACTTCAAAGGATAGACAGCCAATAGGGTGCTTTATTAATTCATTCTTTGTAGCAGAATTGTATAGACAGCCACGGCATTCTCCCTGTTGCTGTTCCAGCCATTGACTCAGTGGCGAGGATGCTAGCACCGAAGAGTGAACCCGTGGCCTGGGGTGTTCCATGATCTTGAAGGATCAAAAATCAGATCCCGTAGGATGGCAACAAACAATAAATAAGCTTCATAATAGAAGATCAAATACAAGTTCCCCAAAGATAATGTTGAAAAATCATCCTTGAAGTAAACCATCCAACTTCCTGCGAAATGAGGAAGTCAGATGCCAAGAATCAACCACCTACATGGTACATTACAACAGAGGAATTCTGATAACATGTAACACATTTTTTTAAGTGCAACACATTGTTTATTTGTTTAGAACATAAAACACAAACAATCTGAGCAAACAGTGCTTTACATGTACCCTTGGTTTCAAGGTACACTATTAACCATCCCCCATGGCTTCACAAAAAGGTCAGTGCACTCCATGCCAAGCTAGCAAAAAAAAACAAAAAGTGTTCTACTTCTTTCCCTAGGAAAGAGATTCCTGTCATGCATTGTAGTATTGCAAATTCGTGCCATCAACACCAAAGCTGTGACTTGATTCAACAACAGAGATGAAATATTGTCTAGTCTGTAAACATCAAATCTAGGCCATTTGATTCCTGACGATGGCTGCCTCCATTTTCCTCAAGTATATCACATGCATTTTCTTTTCGCATTTTCCGCTCTTCAATCACTGCTTCAATTGAGTCTGTGCAGTAAAGGCCCCTTGAGTGCCCCTGTGGTCTATCAGCCACAATGAATTTGTTGCCCTCTCGGCCTCGTTCAGGAAAGCCAGCCCAGACTGCAGAGAGCCATGCAAAACAAATTAGGTGACTAACATGTCGATGCAACCTAGGATCGCTGACAATTTTATACGCAAATGGCTGTCAGAACTTATCAAGTTCACCTTCAGAAATTAAAAAGTGAATATGAGTAGTTATCATTAGATGCATCGTTTAATGACATATGATGCTTCTATAAACCAAGAAAACGAAAATCTGATGAGATAAAACCAGTGGACAACCAACAGTACCCAGGTTTCTGATACGGTGTGCTTTCATTGAACCAATAAGAGTGAGTGCATGATCGGGTTTACAAGAAATTCTTCATGGCTAGTGGTAAGTATATTGATTTGTTTCATCATCTTAGAAGAACACCTAATAACAAAGGTAACAAACTTGGCATACTGGGCAAGTATAAACTAAGAAGGATCATGCAAGCTTTTATGCATAATTTATGTCCATGGCCCACACTGTGGATGATCATGCAAAAACCAAAAGCTGCTAAAGAACTGATATAATGTAAAATCTGAAACAAATTCTAGCATACAGCTAGGAATTTGTAAGACCTGGACTTCAGGCTACAGCTGTAATATTCAAAATCAATCATACTGCCCCCACCAAACAAGCTTTACATATATGCAAATCAGTTAGTATTGTGAACATTCAGACATCACCAAATGAGACAGAATAATGGATCAGGTTTTCCTCTGGATGCACCTATATGCAGATTAAAGTAGAGATTCCACAGTGCTTGATAACATATGCATATAAATCTTTTTTTATGTACAAAAAATTCAACTCTAACTTTTTCCGGGTAATATATATACTCCAATAAAAGGTTTGGTATATAAGGCCATAGTGTACAAAAGATATATAAATAACCCAACTTACTGCCTACTATAGAGAGAGATGTATATATGCCCACTGCCCACATGGTTGGCAGAGAGCAAATGTGACTTTTTTAGAGTGGGAATATGTAAATTTAGAGCTTTGCAGCTCCACAAAACAGTTAATTTCAAAAGAAGAACTTTATATGACTATTTGCCAATGTTCAAAAAGGCGCTACTAGGCGCTCGCCTAGGCGCGCTTACGCGCTAGGCAGAGGGGTGCCGCCTCGCCTAAGGGGGTAGGCGGAAGAAAGGCGGCCTGACCGCAGATCCAGAGCGGCAGAGGTGGCGAGCGCAGCTTGGAAGGAGGCTAGCGGCGGGTACGGCCGGGAGGCAGGACCTTTAGTCCGTGGCAGAGGAGTCGGGGACGTTGCGCGGCGGTGGCAGCCGTGGCAGAGGAGGCGGAGAAGTAGGGACGGGGGCGGCGGCTGGTGCGAGCGGCGCAGAGGAGGCGGGGACGGGGGCGGCGACCAGCGCGGAGGAGGCAGGGACGGGGGCAGCAAGCAGCGCAAAGGACGGGAGAGGCAGGGATGGAGGCGGCGGGCACCACGGCCAGTCGTGCGGTGGATGATACGAAGGGGTACGAAGGGATAGGGTGGGGGATGAGGTTAGAGATAAGGCTTGCTGCTCAGATATGGGCTTAGGCTGCTTTATGGGCCTTTCTATACAACTCTTGGCCCACAGGTGTCCTGTTTTTTTCTTTTCTTATAGAATTTTACAGGTAAAATATGAATGGATATAGAACGCCTAGAAAAACGCCTTGAAGCGCCTAGGCTAGCCTAGGCTCGACTAGGCTCAGGCTATGGGTCAGCGCCTAGAAACCGCCTAGCGCCTTCTTGAACTTTGCTATTTGCAGCTTCACAAAATCCAATTTCAATTAAATTGTTATACATTACCAAAAATATGTGGTGATGACTGGAGCAGGATGGAATCTCTTACCCCCAAAGTGGTGGAGAACAATTGAACCTGCAACTGTAACATTGAGAGATGCAGTTCCACCACCATACTGAGGAATGTAGACAAAGAAGTCACAGATATCACACTCTTTTTGTGAGAGTCCTGTGCCCTATAAGATGAAACCAACAGAACTGGCAGGACTTAAATCAAACAAAGGGAGATTGTAAGCTATGCTTGCGTATTAATAGTAACCTCAGATACAAAATTTTGTTTAATCTAGTAAGTGGGGAATTATAGTGACCAACTGAGCAATAAAACATCTTAATGTAAAATAATGGAGTATTCTTGTACAAATAATGGTTAGCATGAAATACATCATTGAGTTTATATCTTCTGTTTGCAAGTATATTCAAGTAATCTGTACAAGTCATGGGATCCTTTTCTGAACTCATCTGCCCTGAGACTTGGGATTCGCTTCTCCTTCTTTTACCTTTTTACTATTGGTTCTGGTGACAGAGCAAGGTTCTGGTGATAGATTACATTTCCACAAGACTTGTTCAAGATATTGAAACTAGGATAGCATCATGCAACGGCCCCTTAATAGAATTTACATTACAAAACTCAAATAGCGTCTCTAGCTAACATCTTAATTGTATCTTAGGAGTTCTACAATTGATGTCTTTTTGTAAGAGAGATGCACTTTTCTCCAGAATTACACTTTGGTCAAGCTACTCAATTATTGAATACTATGCTGACTTCAATAGATACCTGACTGAAACATCAAAAGGAATGCTAGTTTTAAGGCATTTGGTGTTTGCGCACAATTTAAAAGTGCCCAATGCAAATATGTGAGTAACATGGCAGTGAATTCAGCAACTGAATTGAGCTAATTTCCATCTCAGTCTGCGAAACCAAGGTATATCGCGATTCACAGTTTCCCCATTCAAATTGCATACCAACCAACCTAACTTCGCCGGCTGTACTGAATGACGAGGAGAAACCCACCAACCTCATTGCCGAAGAGGAACGCTGTGCTCCGACGGAACGGGTGCGCGGTCACCGGCTTCGCGTCTTCGGTGATCTCCACGCCGCAGATGTCACACCCTCTCTCGTCCTGCAACACAACACGCACAAACACATGGCATTCATACTCAGCAAAACAAACGGAGGACAGGACAGGGGACTAGGGTTTAGGGGTTTGGTGAGGCCAGGGGCCTGCTCCAGGACAGGTCGGGCTAGCTTGCCTTGAGGTAGGCGCGGGCGAGGGCGAGGGAGGCGAAGTGGCGGAAGCGGAGGTGCGAGGTGGCGCCGTGGCTGCCGAAGGCGCTGACGTCGCGGCGGCCGACGACGACCACCTCCGCGACGCCGAACGCCGTCGCGCTCCGCGCCAGCGTCCCCACGTTGTGCCGCTTCGCCACGTTGTGGACCATCACCACGCTCTCCACCGCCGCCGCCATGCCCGCCGCTTTCGTCGCGCCTGCTCGATTCGCCGCCGCCGCTGGCTCGCGTTATGCTCGGCAAATGGAAAGAGTCCCCGTGCACCGTATCACTGATAAGTGGGCCCGGAGCTTGGAACGAACGACGATTCGAACGGCGCACCGTGCACGTTGCAGATCGGTTTGCCACGCAGCGGGGCCCACCTGTCATCGTGCTCGTGTCCCTCGCTCCAACCTCCAACAGGAGATCGACTCGGGTAGGAGGAGACAACCGGAGTCCGGAGAGAGTCGGATCCGATCGGAGGCATCGCTCTGCACATACAAGAAGAGAAAGGGGATCTCTTTGATCCGCAATTCCGCATCGATCCGAAGGTTTGCCGGCCAAGATGTTG